TAAGTCTATATCTGAGCCATCTTTTAAATATTTGTATTGGTCAACCAAGATGACAACAATTTCTGTCTTCTACCATCAGACAGTTTCTTTCTCTCAAGTGCTTTCAGCACCGGGAACTGTCCTTATCATAGAATAGAATACTTCTATCAGTCAATCAACGATGGTTGGTAGGAGTCCTGCCATATGAATGCCTTCCACACTGCCAGTGTTCTGACCACACAAAAGGAAGAAACAACCAACACACGCCATGAGAAGAAGCACAATGTCTACAACCACAGGAACTTTATACTGATTCAAAGGAGCAGTCTGTCATTTCTTTGTCCCATGTGGCCACTGGAAGAAATGCACAAATAGTCAAGTCTCAGGCAAACACACACACACACACACACACACACACACACACACACACATAAACTTAGTTCCATTGAAGTCAATTGACTCCCAGTCCTACTGGATCTATACTTTTTACCAGATTTTAAACTGCACCTTTAATACAGATGTATTTCTAGTGAGAAAGATGTATAATAACTGTAACAAACTGAGCTCCAACAAACCTGCCACCTTAAACAAGGGATATGCAATATTTACAATCCCCAAAATGTATGGCACTACGTTTTACCTAGATTTGCAAAGGTATTTTATTATGATTAGATAATATGAGGATTTGACATATTTATGATGATTTGATTTTATATTCATTGGTGAGCAGATTTGATCATTTAATTTATAAAATGGTGATTATTTGGTTTTATGTGTAATGAATAGGCTGTTTTAACAGCATTCTCCTGGATGATAGAGGAAAACGAACTGCTGCCATATCATCATAATACATACACACACCATATGTTTCTGCATGGTTTAAACCAGAGCCATTTACACAACAAGTGCCCATTCTCCACGTATGCCCCCCCCCCCCCCCCGCTCTAAGCACCATTACTCAGTGGCCAGGGCCTTGGCATTTTTAAACAGCTTGCCATAGTTACAACTGTTACCTACTACTGCAATGTCACATGCTATCAAAAGTGTGACACAGTTGTACACCTTCGTCTGTGTTTTAGCCGTGTAAGTGAAGTGTGACTATTTTACAAGTGAGTGTTACTCCCACACGCTGGTACCCGTGTTTTAATGAGTGTACGCCCAAGCTGTGTATACCCCGTGTTTTAAAGTGAAGTGTTACTCCCACACGTCTGTGTATAGCCCAGTGAAGTGTTACTCCCACACGTCTGTGTATAGCCCCGTGTTATTAAAGTGAAGTGTTACTCCCACACGTCTGTGTATAGCCCCGTGTTATTAAAGTGAAGTGTTACTCCCACACGTCTGTGTATAGCCCCGTGTTATTAAAGTTAAGTGTTACTCCCACATGCATGCCGTTACTACAGATGCCAACACAACAGGTTCAACTAAAATTTCACCATTCTATAGAGGAAGATACGTGTTTCCAATGACATCATCAATAAATTAGTAGACATTTAGTAGGTAATGCCTACTCATAATTGGTTAAAATCACACAATGCACACTGATGATGTCATTGGAAACACTTATCTTCCTCTATCTATTTTACTACAAAACATAGAAACACGCCATCTTCTACATATGTTGATGTTGGGGTGGTGCTGGAGATGATGAATATGAAGTTGAATTTTTTTTTTTTTTCCTTTAACTATACTCTGTTAAGTGACCTATCCAGGGACGCACCAGGGCATAGGGACACAGGTGGCTGGGAGCTTCTCTTCTGGGCTGAGAGGCTGCGGATATATGCTTGTCTGAAGAATACAGGGGGCTGGAGCTGGGGGCTAGGGGTGTTGGGTTTGTACAGGGGGAAATGGGCTGGGTGTATGGAGGGCACTACTTACTGCTTTCCCAGTAGAATGTTTGCCCTAATTATCTTAGTTCTGCTAGAACTATCTGCATGCACGAAGCAGTGATGTTTCCCCTAGACACTAATCAAAGGTCAGTTCTAGCGTTTTATACCCAAATAGTAAGGTTAGGATTGTGTATGGGGAAGCTGATGCTAGATCTTCGCCTATTTAAGGACAACTCCCACCTTGTGCTAGGGACTCAGCTTGATGCAGAGAGGAGCAGGACGCAGACCTGGGGTTAGGAAAGGCCAGGCTGAATTGGAGGTGTAGTTTGGTGGGAGGTTATAGTCTATACAAATCTGATAAGCAATACATAAGCATGAGAGAAAAAGATCTGAGTCTAATATTAGCTGACAGCTGCAGAGTACAGTTAGGACATCAGGACAATGTAACATTCTCAAGGACAGAGAGACACCCCTGTAAATTCCAACAGGATCAAATTAAAAGGAATGTATGCCAATCTACACAGGGGTTTGGAGTTAGAGATGTATAGAGAGAGAGGATGAGGTTTTATAGTGCCCTTATTTTAATATTAGGTAGTCAGACAATGGGCTCTCACCTATTAATCTGTAGCAATAATACTTCCCTAAAACCTGCCTGGGACCATCCCTATTCACTACTGGTTAGCTGTTATTAGACTGAGCTTAGAGTGAGCTGATCTGTATTGTGCAATACTGATAGATGACAGATTTACTGACAGAGGGAGAGTGGGAGGGGAGAAGAAAGTAATGAAAGAGGGAGGAAAGGAGAGAAAGAGGGAGGAAAAGAGAGAATCAAGAATGAAGAAAGAGAGATCCTGCGTCACAGCGCTGCACTGCAGAGAAGGTGGGAGATGTGACGCACTCTGACTTCAAGCCACTGCCTTCCTTGACGCACACAAACACTGGGGTGATCTTTGGGGAGACTCAGTGGCACGGATATCAGTGGCATTGATTTACTTTGCCAGTAAGGACTAGGCAAGCACAAAGTATACTGCACTGAACTGATTTAGGAGTTCTTGTATGGAGATCAATTAGTGTGTTGAATTTGGTTATCAAAAAAAATAATGGCTTATTTGCTACGTGAGGTTGAATTGATCGAATAGCAGTTTCGTAATGCTTAGTTGTTACGACTGTGAGAAACACACAAAAAAAGAGACAATTTGCACAAACAAAATATATCATAATTTCAATCCTGGCTTTCAGAAGAACTTTGCTACAACCTAAGAATTACAACGTACTCTGTGAGAACAGGAGGGCAGTGACCTGTCCTGACCGCGTCAAAACACTACATACACACGGATAACAGCACAAAAACCCGTTTTGTTTCCAGGTTGTTTCTCCAGGTTCAGTATCAAAATGTATGCACTCACTAACTGTAAGTGGCTCTGGATAAGAGTGTCTGCTAAATGACTAAAATGTAAATGTAAATGTTCTTACCGCATTTTTATCAGCATTTCATGACTATGACAGATGGTGGTGTGCAGACATTTATTCAAGGATTTGAGTCAAACCCCCTTGAGATACATAGGTATTCACTTCCAGACACTAGCCGTGAGCGCATTTGAATTGTGCAATTTTGAACATTTCATGTATACCATTGAGATGGTAGATATTGATAATAGTGCAATAATAATGTGACAGACAGAGACAGCATCAGAACAGACTGATTGGACATTCACATTGAGCAGACCATTATTTAAAATGTTTAAACAAAAATAACTGATTTTTGTTCTCGGATTGAGAACGCCGGTTTGTCCCTATTGAATCCACCCCAGGACTTTGAGCGCGACTTTCCCAACAGAGAGCTCCATACAGCTTAGGGCTGAGGTCATCATGATTTTAACATGATTGTAAATATAACATCCTACATCTCTCCTACATATATTTAGTGCGTGTCTGATTTGGTCAATTGATTGTTTCGCTCTAGTACTTTTTCCAAGTCAAGTACTGTTAACTTGGGTCACCGTTTATATTTAGCTACCTTCTCTGAAGTGGACCAAAACAACTCCTCCTATAAAACGTATACAGGTGGTAATTCAAACAGAACAGGAAATGTGCATTTCACAATAGGAATGGAATCATCATAAACGGGTTGTTCTTGAATTGTGGCGGCATTTGCGTCCCTTGCCTTTGCAATCTTGAAAAACACTTTAAAATGACAAATAGTTACACATCATGAATGTTTTTGTTTATATTGAACTATTTATCAATGATAAAACATATTTAATGTCCTTTATACTGCAAAACTTTGTTTATGCATTGTTTAAAGTACTTAGGGTGTACGTAGTGATGTGTAGCGTTGTACAGACATATTTTGGGGATTTAGATATATCTATATATTATTTTGAATGCTAGAAAGTGAAGAAAAGTTAATGTATTGTATACATCAATAAAAACAAAGGCGGCTATTAAAATCACTATTTCTTTTAAAATAGTATGTCTGTCTCTCAGTTCTATGTCTTTGGTGTTACCGCCTTGAAAATCACTCATTACAAAGATCAACAAGAACCTTGAACATTCCCTCCAGTGGTAAACTTATCGTGGAGGGGTCTATATTAAAAGAGAGTTGTTAACTAATCACACCCATTTAGTTTGTCATAAATTTGAAGATTCCATTGTTCATTTCGTGTGTCGAAATCTAAAGCGTCCCTTGGTGTTATTCAATTTAAATGTAGGGAAATTACATTGAGCAAAATTATTAATCATATCAAAAATGATTTTCAAAGAGATAATGACTTTAGATTTGAGCATATGTGGCATCCATTTAAGAAAATCCTCAGTAACCAAAAATGTCTCATAGGTGTTACCGTCATTGGTGTTACCGTCATTGGTGTTACCGTCATTGGTGGTACTACTCCTACTAGTGGAACAATGTTATCATCATAGTACAAATATTTTATGTCATTAAGCTACAATATTAGTTGATTTAGAATGGGAAGATGTACCCAAATACATTTAAATAAAAAATCTAGAATAATTAAGTTCATTTTTTCCGAAATGCCAGGCCCCAATGCCACCGCAATTCAAGAACAACCCAAACAATACTAATCACATTGTAATATTAATAATATTATTAAGCAATGGAAGATCATCATCACCAGCACTGCTGGAGCTAAATGCATCCAGATACACTGGGGCTGTGTCTCAATAGTTTAAACACTATAGCTTATTTTCCATATCTCCTTTCCTTGTGTCCTTCCCTCCATGAACACTGATCTGGGTGAACATGACATCAGTTGTAATGAAGGAGATGAGGAAAGGCAGTGCTGAGGGTTGTGGGTAGTGTAGTCTTCTACTGGACGTTGACAACAGTCTCGTGGATAGACTCGGCCACATAGTCGATGTTCTTAGTGGTCAGACCACACATGTTGATACGACCGCTGGCCATCAGGTAGATACTCCTCTCCTTGATCATGTACTCCACTTGTTTAGCTGGAGAGAGTCAAAATATAAAAAGGTATGAACAAATCTAATTGTATTTGTCACATGCTTCATAAACAACAGGTGTAGACTAACAGTGACATGCTTACAGGCCCTTCCCAACACCGCAAAGAGAAAAAGAGAAAAAATAGAAAAAGAATAACACAAAGAATAAATACACAATGAGTAACGACAACTTGGCTATATACACGGGGTCCCAGAACCGAGTCATTGTGGAGGGGTACGAGGTAATTTTGGGTAGATATGTACATATAGGTAGGGGTACAGTGACTAGGGAACAGGATAGATAATAAACAGTAGCAGCAGCGTATGTGATGAGTCAAAAGAGTTGGTGCAAAAAGGGTCAATGCAGATAGTTAAATAGATAACCAAATATCTACCCAGACTAACTGTTCAGCAGTCTCATGGCTTGGGGGTAGAAGCTGTTCAGGGTCCTGTTGGTTCCAGACTTGGTACATCGGTACCGTTTGCCGTGCAGTAGCATAGAGAACAGTCTATGACTTGGGTGGCTGGAATCTGACCATTCTTAAGGCCTTTCTCTGACACCGCCTGGTATATAGGTCCTGGATGGCAGGGAGCTTGGCCCCAGTGATGTACTGGGCCGTATGCATTACCCTCTGTAGCGCCTTGCGGTCGGATGGCAAGCAGTTGCCATACCAAGCGGTGATGCAGCCAGTCAAGATGCTGCAGCTGTAAAACGTTTTGAGGATCTGAGGGCCCATGACTGATCTTCTCAGCCTCCTGAGGGGGATGAGGCGTTGTCGTGCCTTCTTCAGGACTGTGTTGGTGTCTGTGGACCATGATAATTCCTTAGTGATGTGGAACTTGAAGCTCTCAACCCACTCCACTACAACCCCATTGATGTGGATGGGGGCGTGCTCGGCCCTCCGTTTCCTGTAGTCCACGATCATCTCCTTTGTCTTGCTGACATTGAGGGAGAGGTTGTTGTCCTGGCACCACACTGCCAGGTCTCTGACCTCCTCCCTGTAGGCTGTCTCATCGTCGTCAGTGATCAGGCTAACCACTGTCGTGTCGTCAGCAAACTTAATGATGGTGTTGGAGTCATGCACGGCCACGCAGTCGTGGTTGAATAGGGAATACAGGAAGGGACTAAGCACGCACGTAGTGAATCAGCTGACACTATACCAAAACGCACTGTGCACAAAACCCCCAAAGAAAACGTTTCTCATTAAATCTAGTCATGCTGCTGATGACGAGCACACACATAATATTTCCAGCTAGATAGCCTGCTGTACCAAAATCACTATGAGATGTTGCCCACACCAGTGGCCGGCAAGTAATACCACTTGTCTTACGTTTGGGCACAAACAGGTCCACGTCAAATTCGTACCGTCTTTGCATGCTCGGCCCACATCTTTCACGTTTTGAACGTTGCTAGCTAGCTACATGCTGGATTAATTTGGAGGAATAAAATATGTCAAATTGAACATTGTTTGCACGGCACACAGAAATAGCATCTACAGAAACGTTTCTTCATTAGAAAAGTCATTAGTTTCTTCGATTGGCCTCCTCTCGCGTCTTCCAAGATGCATCCAGCTGCAGGCCACTAAACTATCCCCTGACAAAATGGTCCCTGACTGAACCTTTGAGATTTTAATGGAAGGATTAGTATGGGGCTAGTTCATAACATGACATGACATGACAGGCCAGTCTACAGGTTAGTGTAGCGGAGAAAACAGGCTTGATCAGGTGGTCTCAAAACATTTGGAGAAAATATTTTTTCTGAAGGTACAATATCCTATCATAGGTTTTTGTGTGGGGGCCTTAGAATGCTCGCTCCCCCCCACACAATTAATCTGGGTAGGAAAAGAGTGTTTGATAGAGATAGAAAAGACAAAGGGAACAAAGAGAGAGAAAACACAGGAGAGGATATTTGTTTAAATGTGTGTACTGAGTAGATCTGGTGTGTGCGTGTACGCACGGTTGAGGCCAGTGAAGCTGAACATGCCGATCTGCTGTGTGATGTGGTCCCATGTTCCTGGTGTTCCCAGAGCCTGCAGTTTAGCCTGGAGTGAAGCCCTCATCAACAACACACGGTCTGCCATGGTCTTCACATTATCCTTCCTAAAACCGGGAGAGAGGAGGGAGGGATGGAGGGAGAGGGAGAGAGAAGGATGATGGCGGGAGACAAAGAGAAAGAAGAGGGGGGAGAGGAAGGGAGGAGAGAGAGAGGGGGGGGGGGATGAAGAGAGGATATATTTCAATCACAGGAGGCTGCTGAGGGGAGGACGGCTCATAATAATGGCTGGAATGGAGTCAATGGAATGCCTTCAAACATGTGGAAACCATGGAAACCATGTGTTTGATACCATTCCATTGATTCCGTTCCAGCCATTACTATGAGTCCGTCCTCCCCAATTAAGGTTCCACCGGCCGCCTGTGATTTCAATGTTTCGAACTCTCATGTATAATTGTTGGACGTTCATACACTATTTTTCATCTACTCTACAACGCCCGGAAATCCGCACCTTTTATTCTCTGTACCCAACGCAGTAGAAGACCAGTTCTTAAAGCCTTTAGCCGTATCCTTATTCTATTCCTCCTCTGTTCCTCTGGTGATGTAGAGGTTAACCCAGGCCCTGTAGCCCCCAGTATCACTCCTACTCCAAAGGGCGCTATCATTTGTTGACTTCTGTAACCGCAAAAGCCTTGGTTCCTTGCATGTTAACATCAGAAGCCTCCTCCCTAAGTTTGAGTTATTCACTGCGTTAGCACACTCCGCCAACCCTGATGTTCTAGCAGTGTCTGAATCCTGGCTTAGGAAGGCCACCAAAGATTCAGAAATGTCCATTCCCAACTACAACAGTTTCCGTCTAGATAGAACTGCCAAAGGGGGCGGAGTTGCAATCTACTGTAGAGATAGCCTGCAGAGCTCTATCATACTATCCAGGTCTGTGCCCAAACAGTTTGAGCTTCTACTTCTAAATATCCATCTTTCCAGAAATAAGTCTCTCACTGTTGCCGCTTGCTACAGACCCCCCTCAGCCCCCAGCTGTGCCCTGGACACCATATGTGAATTGATTGCCCCCCATCTATCCTCAGAGTTCGTATTGCTTGGTGACCTAAACTGGGATAAGCTTAACACCCCGGCCGTCCTACAAACTAAACTAGATGCCCTCAATCTCATACAAATTATCAAGGAACCTACCAGGTACAACCCTAAATCCGTTAACATGGGCACCCTCATAGATATCATCCTGACTAATTTACATTTACATTTTACATTTTAGTCATTTAGCAGACGCTCTTATCCAGAGCGACTTACAGTTAGTGAGTGCATACATTTTCATACCCTCTAAATACACCACCACTGTCTTCAACCAGGATCTCAGCGATCACTGCCTCATTGCCTGCGTCCGTAATGGGTCCGCGGTCAAACGACCACCCCTCATCACTGTCAAACGCTCCCTAAAACACTTCAGCGAGCAGGCCTTTCTAATTGACCTGGCCCGGGTATCCTGGATGGATATTGACCTCATTCTGTCAGTAGAGGATGCCTGGTTGTTCTTTAAAAGTGCTTTCCTCTCCATCTTAAATAAGCATGCCCCATTCCAAAAATGCAGAACTAAAAATAGATATAGCCCCTGGTTCACCCCAGACTTGACTGCCCTTGACCAGCACAAAAACATCCTGTGGCGTACTGCATTAGCATCGAACAGCCCCCGCGATATGCAACTTTTTAGGGAAGTCAGGAACTAATATACACAATCAGTTAGGAAAGCAAAGGCTAGCTTTTTCAAACAGAAACTTGCATCCTGTAGCACTAACTCCAAAAAGTTTTGGGACACTAAAGTCCATGGAGAATAAGAGCACCTCCTCCCAGCTGCCCACTGCATTGAGGCTAGGAAACACTGTCACTACCGATAAATCTACGATAATCGAACATTTCAACAAGCATTTTGTTACGGCTGGCCATGCTTTCCACCTGGTTACCCCTACCCCGGGCCACCAGCTCTGCACCCTCCGCTGCAACTTGCCCATGCCCCCCCTTTCTCCTTCACCCAAATTCAGATAGCTGATGTTCTGAAAGAGCTGCAAAATCTGGACCCCTACAAATCAGCTGGGCTAAAGAACCTTTCTTTCTAAAATTAGCCGCCGAAATTGTCGCAACCCCTATTACTAGCCTGTTCAACCTCTCTTTCGTAACGTCTGAGATCCCCAGAGATTGGAAAGCTGCCGCGGTCATCCCCCTCTTCAAAGGGGGTGACACTCTAGATCCAAACTGTTACAGACCTATATCCATCCTGCCCTGCCTTTCGAAAGTATTTGAAAGCCAAGTTAACAAACAGATCACCGACCATTTCGAATCCCACCGTACCTTCTCCGCCATGCAATCTGGTTTCCGAGCTGGTCATGGGTGCACCTCAGCCACGCTCAAGGTCCTAAACGATATTATAACCGCGATCGATAAAAGACAGTACTGTGCAGCAGTCTTCATCGACCTGGCCAAGGCTTTCCACTCCGTCAATCACTGCATTCTTATTGGCAGACTAAATAGCCTTGGTTTCTCAAATGACTGCCTCGCTTGGTTCACCAACTACTTCTCAGATATCAAAAAAATGTGTCAAATCGGAGGGCCTGTTGTCTGGACCTCTGGCAGTCTATGGGGGTGCCACAGGGTTCAATTCTCGGGCCGACTCTATTATCTGTGTATATCAATGATGTCGCTCTTGCTGCTGGTGACTCTCAGATCCACCTCTACGCAGACGACACCATTTTGTATACATCTGGCCCTTCATTGGACACTGTGTTAACAAACCTCCAAACGAGCTTCAATGCCATACAGCACTCCTTCTGTAGCCTCCAACTGCTCTTCAATCGAACGCTGCTTGCACCCGCCCGCCCGACTAGAATCACTACTCTCGGCGGGTCTGACTTAGAATATGTGGACAACTACAAATACCTAGGTGTCTGGTTAGACCGTAAACTCTCCTTCCAGACTCACATTGAACATCTCCAATCCAAAGTTAAATCTAGAATCGGCTTCCTATTTCGCAACAAAGCCTCCTTCACTCATGCTGCCAAACATGCCCTCGTAAAACTGACTATCCTACCGATCCTTGACTTCGGCGATGTCATTTACAAAATAGCCTCCAACACTCTACTCAGCAAATTGGATGTAGTCTATCACAGTGCCATCCGTTTTGTCACCAAAGCCCCATATACTACCCACCATTGTGACCTGTACGCTCTCATTGGCTGGCCCTCACTACATATTCGTCGCCAAACCCACTGGCTCCAGGTCATCTATAAATCACTGCTAGGCAAATCCCTGCCTTATCTTAGCTCATTCGTCACCATTGCAACACCCACCCGTAGTCTGCGCTCCAGCAGGTATATCTCACTGGTCATCCCCAAAGCCAACACCACCTTTGGCCACCATTCCTTCCAGTTCTCTGCTGCCAATAACTGGAACGAACTGCAAAAATCTCTGAAGCTGGAGACTTATCTCCCTCACTAACTTTAAGCATCAGTTGTCAGAGCAGCTTACCGATCACTGCACCTGTTCACAGCCCATCTGAAATTAGCCCACCCAACTACCTCATCCCCATATTGTTATTTATTTTGCTCATTTGCACCCCAGTATCTCTATTTGCACATCATCTTTTGCACATCTATCATTCCAGTGTTAATACTAAATTGTAATTATTTTGCACTATGGCCTATTTATTGCCTTACCTCCATAACTTACAACATTTGCACACACTGTATATATATTTTCTGTTGTATTTTTGACTTTATGTTTTGTTTTACCCCATATGTAACTCTGTGTTGTTGTTGTTTTTAATCGCACTGCTTTGCTTTATCTTGGCCAGGTCGCAGTTGTAAATGAGAACTTGTTCTCAACTGGCTTACCTGGTTAAATAAAGGTGAAATTAAAAAAAATGTGACCTGTGTGTGTGTACCCACCATTCAGCGAAGAGTTCAGGTGTGTTGAGTGTGATGGCGACCAGCCTGGCACCCTGGGAGGGAGGATTGGACCAGGTTACCCTGACAATCTTCTCCATCTGAGACAGAACTCTCTTCACGTTGTCAGCATCACAAGCTACGATGGTCAGGTTCCCCACACGTTCATCTGACAGGAGACAGAATCTTCATTTAGGGTTCTCTGCAGTTTACAGATTGCATTATGTAGAATTAAATGTGAAACGTAAGTGTGATGTGTGAGAGGTGGGAGTAGGAATACATACTGTAGTTTGGTTTCATTTATGTTTCCCTGCATCTTACTGAGTGTGTGTGTGTGTGTGTGTGTGTGTGTGTGTGTGTGTGTGTGTGTGTGTGTGTGTGTGTGTGTCTGTCTCACTGTAGAGGCCAAAGTTCTTGGAGAAGGACTGGGCACAGAACATCTCGAAGCCCTGGGTGACAAAGTAGCGCACGGCCCAGGCATCCTTATCCAGACAGCCTGACGCAAAGCCCTGGTACGCAGAGTCAAAGAACACAAACAGCTTCCTCCTCTGGGGAAAAAAGAAAGAGGACAAAGGATAAAACATCTTCAGAAATGAGAATTTGAAATACCAAATTATTATTATTTTTAAATGATACATTTTTATATTTTTTACAAAACAGTTGCACGTGTACACACACACAGTCTTACCTTCATGACCTCAGCCACCTGCATCCACTCTACGTGTGTAGGGTCTGTGCCGGTGGGGTTGTGGGCACACGCGTGCAAAACGAAGATGGAATGCTTTGGTGCAGTCTGGGACCGGGGTCAAAGGTCAGTGTTAGACTACAGGACAGCCAAATTATAGTGTACTGGGAGTTGATACATGAAGTTGGTATCGTTAAAGCTAAACATATCATCTTTTCAATAGTGTGTAAAAAGCTAATTTACTTTTAAGGTAGACATGACCAGTTCTGATATTCAATATTCACTATTGTGAGGTAAACTCAAGAGTTTGGGAGCCGGTCTGGTCTCGACCTGTTCAGAGGTCAGCGGCTCACCTCCAGGTCGCCTAGGAAACCGGCCAGATCCAGTCCCCGCTTCTCTGCGTCCCAGTACTTATAGGGACGGATGTCCTCGAACCCAGCATTGGCAAACACAGAGTTGTGGTTCTCTAGAAACAAACAGTAGAGCAGGTTTTACAACAGTCTGCCTTTTCTCTAATAGAGAATGCGTTTCCAAATCATGTGTCTTTTGAGGCCTGCTTTGTAACATTAGCTGAAATGATTTGAAGCTCTATTGCAGAGCATGAACCAAAATAAAAAGTAACATGCTGGACTTATAATCACCTATTAATTAAATATCAAAAGGACAACTCAGCAGTATGAGTTCCAGATAAGATAACATATCAAATTGTATTTGTCACATGCTTAATAAACAACAGGTGTAGACTAACAGTGACATGCTTACAGGCCCTTCCCAACAATGCAGAGACAAAAAGAAAAATTATCAAACAAAGAATAAATACACAATGAGTAACGATAACTTGGCTATATACATGGGGTACCAGTAATGAGTTGATGTGGAGGGGTACGAGGTAATTGAGGTAGATATGTACATATAGGTAGGGGTAAAGTGACTAGGAAACAGGATAGATAATAAGTGGTAGCAGCAGCGTATGTGATGAGTCAAAAGAGTTAGTGCAAAAAGGGTCAATGCAGATACAGTTGAAGTCGGAAGTTTACATACACTTACGTTGGAGTCATTAAAACTCGTTTTCAACCACTCCACAAATTTCTTGTTAACAAACTATAGTTTTGGCAAGTCGGTTAGGACATCTACTTTGTGCATGACACAAGTAATTTTTCCAACAATTGTTTACAGACAGATTATTTCACTTATAATTCACTGTATCACAATTCCAGTGGGTCAGAAGTTTACATACACTAAGTTGACTGTGCCTTTAAACAGCTTGGAAAATTCCAGAAAATGATGTCATGGCTTTAGAAGCTTCTGATAGGCTAATTGACATCATTTGAGTCAATTGGAGGCGTACCTGTGGATGTATTTCAAGGCATACCTTCAAACGCTTGACATCATGGGAAAATCAAAAGAAATCAGCCAAGACCTCAGAAAAAGAATTGTAGACCTCCACAAGTCTGGTTCATCCTTGGGAGCAATTTCCAAACGCCTGAAGGTACCACGTTCATCTGTACAAACAATAGTACGCAAGTATAAACACCATGGGATCACGCAGCCGTCATACCGCTCAGGAAGGAGACGCGTTCTGTCTCCTAGAGATTAACGTACTTTGGTGCAAAAAGTGCAAATCAATCCCAGAACAACAGCAAAGGACCTTGTGAAGATGCTGGAGGAAACAGGTACAAAAGTATCTATATCCACAGTAAAACAAGTCCTATATCGACATAACCTGAAAGGCCGCTCAGCAAGGAAGAAGCCACTACTCCAAAACCGCCATAAAGAAGCCAGACTACAGTTTGCAACTGCACATGGGGACAAAGATCGTACTTTTTGGAGAAATGTCCTCTGGTCTGATGAAACAAAAATAGAACGGTTTGGCCATAATGACCATCGTTATGTTTGGAGGAAAAAGGGGGATGCTTGCAAGCCGAAGAACATCACCCCAACCATGAAGCACGGGGGTGGCAGCATCATGCTGTGGGTGTGCTTTGCTGCAGGAGAGACTGGTGCACTTCACAAAATAGATGGCATCATAAAGAAGGAAAATTATGTGGATATATTGAAGCAACATCTCAAGACATCAGTCAGGAAGTTAAAGCTTGGTCGCAAATGATCTTCCAAATGGACAATGACCCCAAGCATACTTACAAAGTTGTGGCAAAATGGCTTAAGGACAACAAATGGTTGTCCTCTGTAGCTCAGCTGGTAGAGCACGGCGCTTGTAACGCCAAGGTAGTGGGTTCGATCCCCGGGACCACCCATACACAAAAAATGTATGCACGCATGACTGTAAGTCGCTTTGGATAAAAGCGTCTGCTAAATGGCATATTATTATTATTATTATTATTTAACAAAGTAAAGGTATTGGAGTGGCCATCACAAAGCCCTGACCTCAATCCTATAGAACATTTGTGGCCAGAACTGAAAAAGCATGTGCAAGCAAGGAGGCCTTCAAATCTGACTCAGTTACACCAGCTCTGTCAGGAGGAATGGGCCAAAATGCACCCAACTTATTGTGGGAAGCTTGTGGAAGGCTACCCGAAACATTTGACCCAAGTTAAGCAATTTAAAGGCAATGCTACCAAATACTAATTGAGTGTATGTAAACTTCTGACCCACTGGGAATGTGATGAAATAAATAAAAGTTGAAATAAATCACTCTCTACTATTATTCTGACATTTCACATTCTTAAAATAAAAGTGGTGATCCTAACTGACCTAAGACAGGGAATTTTTACTACGATTAAATGTCAGGAATTGTAGAAAAACTGAGTTTAAATGTATTTGGCTAAGGTGTATGTAAACTTCCGACTTCAACTGTAGTTTAATAGTTAACCAATAGCTACCCGGACTAACTATTTAGCAGTCTTATGGATTGTGGGTAGAAGCTGTTCAGGGTCCTGTTGGTTCCAGACTTGGTGCATCGTTACCGCTTGCCGTGCGGTAGCAAAACAAAAAAAATGACTTGGGTGGCTGGAGTCTTTGACAATTTCTAGGCCCTTCCTCTGACACTGCCTGGTATCGAGGTCCTGGATGGCAGGGAGCTCGGCCCCAGTGATGTACTGAGTCGAACACACTACCCTCTGTAGTGCCTTGCCATCGGATGCCAAGCAGTTGTAATCTTTTCAGCCTCCTGAGGGGGAAGAGGCGTTGTCGAGCCTTCTTCACGACTGTGTTGGTGTGTGTTGACCATGATAATTCCTTCGTGATGTGGACTACGAGGAACTTTGAAGCGCTCGACCCACTCCACTACATCCCCGTCGATGTGAATGGGGGCGTGCTCGGCCCTCCGTTTCCTGTAGTCCACGATCAGCTCTTTTGTCTTGTTGACATTGTTGGAGAGGTTGTTGTCACTGACTTCCTCCATGTAGGCTGTCTCATCACCACTGTCGTCTCATCAGCAAACTTAATTATAGTGTTGGAGTCGTGCGCAGCTACACAGTTGTGAGTGAACAGGGAGTATAGGAGGGGACTAAGCATGCACCCTTAAGGGTCTCCCGTGTTAAGGGCCAGAGTGGCAGATTTGTTGTTGCCTACCCTCACCACCTGGGGGCGGCCCGTCAGGAAGTCCAGGACCGAGTTGCAGAGGGATGTTTTTAATCCCAGAGTCCTTAGCTTAGTGCTGAGCTTGGCAGGCACTATGATGATGAACGCTGAGCTGTAGTCAATGAACAGCATTCTCACATAGGTGTTCCTTTTGTCCAGGTGGGAAAGGGCAGTGTGGAGTGCAATAGAGACTGCGTCATTTGTGGATCTTTTGGGGCGGTATGCGAATTGGAGTGGGTCAAGGGTGTATGGGATGATGGTGTTGATGTGTGCCATGGTCAGCCTTTCAAAGCATTTCATGGCTACAGATGTGAGTGCTACGGTACGATTGTCATTTAGACAGGTTACTTTGGCGTTCTTGGGCTATGGTGGTCTGCTTGAAACATGTTGGTATGATAGACTGGGTCAGAGAGAGTTTGAAAATGTCAGTGAAGACACTTGCCAGCTGGTCAGCGCATGTTCTAAGTATGCGTCCTGTGAATGTTAACCTGTTAAAAGGTCTTACTCACATCAGCTACGGAGAGCAAGATCACACAGTCATTCGGGAACAGCTGGTGCTCTCATGCAGGTTCAGTGTTGCTTGCCTCGAAGAGAGCATAGAAGGAATTTAGCTCGTCTGGTAGACTTGAGTCACTGGGAAGCTCACAGCTGGGTTTCCCTTTGTAATCAGCCGTACGAGCAGAGATGTAGACAGCTGTATTAAGTTTTGTCGTTCCAGTGTGTGTGTGTGTGTGTACCCCAGGTAGGCGCTGAGACGTAGACAGGTGTTTTCATGTTGTCGTTCCCGTTGTACCAGCGTCTGAGAAACTCAGCCCCCATCTTCAGAGCACCTGTACCCCCCAGACATTGCACCGCTCCCACCTGACAGAGAGAGAGAGAGAGTGAGAGACAGAATGAGAGTGAGCGAGCAAGAGAGGGAAGGAGAGAGAGGGTGACAGAGACGGATAGGGAGAGAGGTGAGAGAGGGAAGGAGAGAGAGCGAGAGAGAGACAGAGGGAGAGAGAAGGGGGTTGAAGAGAGAAGGGGGTGGGGGAGAGACACTAGATAAGTGACTTAATAACTACTTATCAGTACTAATTTAAATGCATTACTTTAAATTCAGCTCAATATATGCATGATTGAGCACACACACACACTCATAAACTACCCTACCCTGTTCTCCTGGATGGCAGGGCTGTCTTCTCCCAGGGCGATCTTGGATGCGGAGGACCTAAACTCAGGCAGACCCAGGATGGGCAGGTACTCATGGTTCAGACTGTTGTCCGCTACGATGATCTTCTCCACCTTCTTAACCACGGGCAGCACCCAGGGCTGGCCCTCATCTGTCCTATAGGCTGGAGGGGAGAGACAGGCTAGCTACAGCGGGTGAGGGGGGATACAGTGTTTCCAATATATGGGCCTGATATAGCCTACTAGCTATGTGTTTTTACCAGAGTTTCGTTTGCTTTATGTTGTACATTTTGCAGTAGCCCAACTCTGCCCCCAGGGCTCTCTCTGAAGCTGGCATTACTACCCTGGTGAGCAACCCACTCAGGAGGAGCATTACTGTCCCGGTGAGCAACCCACTCAGGAGGAACATTACTGTCCCGGTGAGCAATCCACTCAGGAGGAGCATTACTGTCCCGGTGAGCAACCCACTCAGGAGGAGCATTACTGTCCCGGTGAGCAACCCACTCAGGAGGAACATTACTGCCCCGGTGAACAACCCACTTAGGAGGAGCATTACTGTCCTGGTGAGCAACCCACTCAGGAGGAGCATTACTGTCCTGGTGAGCAACCCACTCAGGAGAAGGATTACTGTCCTGGTGAGCAACCCACTCAGGAGAGGATTACTGTCCCGGTGAGCAACCCACTCAGGAGGAGCATTACTGCCCCGGTGAGCAACCCACTCAGGAGGAGCATTACTGTGCTGGTGAGCAATCCACTCAGGAGGAGCATTACTGCCCCTGGTGAACAACCCACTCAGGAGGAGCATTACTGCCCCGGTGAACAACCCACTCAGGAGGAGCATTACTGCCCCGGTGAACAACCCACTCAGGAGGAGCATTACTGTCCCTGGTGAGCAACCCACTCAGGAGAAGGATTACTGTCCCGGTGAACAACCCACTATGGAGAAGGATTACTGCCCCAGTGAACAACCCACTCAGGAGGAGCATTACTGCCCCAGTGAACAACCCACTCAGGAGGGATGGTGCCAATGAACAACGAACCCTGACAACCTGAAGAGAGTTTGAACACAGATGGAGACGTCACAAATGCGCTCTATTACACTAGAAGCATTATTGCTCTGCAAGATCCAAGTAGACTGATTCGTCATTAGGCCTACCTTAGGTCTCTGGCGGGCAACTTCATGTGTATTTTTGACTGTTGTTTGTATGATATTGTTTAACCTATTTGTGTGTTATATGTGCTGCGCTCGCTCCCTGACAGGTCGTCATTGTAAATAACAATTTGTTCTTAATTGACTTACCTGTATAAATAAATGTTAAATAAAATTAAAACTTTGCAAAGGTTTGTTTTAATGGTTTTATCGGATCAGGCTACAACCTGATACAAATGTCAGACAAAAGCCGTGCACTTTCCCCTGAGGTCCTAAACTCCAGTCAGCCACCACTGATAAGACAGCAACACTAGTAACTTACTCATAGTGAACAGTGTTATTGAGCTAAAGAGGAGAGGGCACTCCTTTCTGTAACAGGCTCTTATCTGCTCACTTATTGACTGTAATAGTATGTAAACTGTCTGAAAACATACTTCCATCCACATCCACAATCACTTTCTAACTGAGCACGAGGCCTAACCATATAATTTGTGACTGAAGTTCAAGAGAAAACAGATATTTTCCTGAGTGGACATGGGTCCATCTCCTCTATCTGAGCATGCTAACACATGGTGTAGCTAGGTTATGTAGGCTATTTTCAGCCAGCTGACCACAGTATGAGCCTACTGTTAGCCTACTACAGGAAGGAATTACTTAAGCAATAATGCCTGAGAATCCATGAACTCCCGACAAGGGTTGTTCTGAGGCCCAAGGGAGATGAAGTTTATGAATTTCCTGCCTGGGCTGCGGGACAGTGGAATTAGGAGATGAATATGTCATGGTATTTTGCGGGAGTTGTCCCACAGCATATCAACGAATCAGCATAGAGGATCCAAACAACCCATTTTATAATAGGTCTTAGGCCTGCCTGTGCTAATCAGGGAACCTCAAGCAGACCTGCACTGCAGAGAAAAAGAGCAGGACGAGGGGGAAAGAGCAACCGCAGCATCACCTTTCCTCCTTCCTCCCTTCAAGTAATCATCACTGATCTGACATGATTGAATTGGTCAAACCTATGTTGTGGAATGCTTTCTTACACCCATCCCGTCTTATTAGTGATTATTTCAGGGAAGGCAGTGAGGATGTATACATTTACAGTGTTCCAACAGGGCCCTAATCCGCCACCCGTTCTTCATCTCTTATGAATTGTTAAGGATTAACACCATGTAACAACAGAACTTTGGCCAGTTTTCTCTGGCGTAGCGCAGTGTTAATCCTGTAGTCCTGAGATGCCAAGCAATCGGTCACAGGCAACACACACACCAGGATATCAGCCTTTTGGCCTCTGCGCTGCAGTGTTATATATTAACAGCACTCCATACAAAGTATCCAGTAAGAAGAACAGTCACAAGGTGTGTGTGAGTGCACTCCTGTGGGGCGGGACGGGGGTGTATTCTGGCTACAGTCTCCCATAGGATCTGCGTAGAGAGCGTGAATGGGAGTGATTTGCTCTATGACCACGGTCCATTGATCTAGCTACAACTAATAGTGATATGACCATGACTCATTTATCTCCATCTCCAACTACCGGCCTGTTCCAGTCTGTTCCTACTGCAGTGACAGAGCCACTTCTTTGGATGACTGCCAACTACAGGTTATAGGCCTTGCTATGCTATCTGTTCCCCCTGACAACCCCTGTCTAAGTACCCAGTATCTATGCTGCAATAGTCTATGTACTGGGGGCTAGGGTCAATCTGGTGTAATTCTCCTGTCTTATCTGGTGTCCTGTGTGATCTTAGGAATTCTTCTCTCTCTCTCTCTCCCTCTGTCCGTCCGTCCGGAGGACCTGAGCCCTAGAACCATGCCTCAGGACTACCTGGCATGATGACTCCTCGCTGTCCCCGTCCCCAGTCCACCTGTTCTTGCTGCTGATCCAGTTTCTGCTGACCTGTTCATCGGACGTGCTACCTTGTCAGGACATGCTGTCTCGATCTCTGAATGCTTGGCTATGAAAAGTCAACTGACATTAACTACTGAGGTGCTGACCTGTTGCACCCTCTATAACCACTGCGACTATTATTTGACCCTGCTGGTCATCTACGAACGTTTGAACATCTTGAAGAACGATCTGGCCTTAATGGCCATGTACTCTCATAATCTTCACCTGGCACAGCCAGATGAGGACCGGCCACCTCTAAGAGCCTGGTTCCTCTCTAGGTTTCTTCCTAGGATCCTGCCTTTCTAGGGAATTTTTCCTAAACACTGAGTTTCTAAATCTGCATTGGTTGCTCTTTGGGGTTTCAAGCACTTTGTGACAACTGCTGATGTAAAAAGGGCTTTATAAAATAAATGTGATTGATTGAAATGTTACTGTAGATTCTGCACAATCAGCACAGCAAGCAAGGACATCATGTATGTCATGTCCAGCCTGAATTCATCCTTACCTTCTCCCTACTTTGAAGAAGTATGCTAGCCTAATCACTGATCTGGATAACATGATTGATTGGATAGATGAAAAGGTTTCCCCACATAGAACAGATCCAGTCATGTCACATCATTGAGGGATGATGCATTCTGTCACATTTTTCAAACAGGGCCCAGCACCACAGCAGACATTTCTGATGATCTACTTAATAGTTAGTTATACAGGATTCGATAGCTATGTTAACTAGTAGCGTTAGTTGGTTAGTTACTGTTTAGCATCTGTTTACTTGCTAACTATAGTAACTACTAACGTTAGCTAGCTAGTTAGCTACGGTTTACTAGTAAAGTAACTAACTTTCCACGATTATTAACCTGGGGATGGTCCAGGAAATCCGACAGGCACAGGTGCATTGTTGTCGCAGTGAAACTCTGTGATCCAGCTTGTTTACAGCTTGCTAACTAGCTAACGTTCCTTTGTTTACTTCATCACAGCGACTGAAGCAATAAGCATCATTATCATATTTTCTTACCTCCAACTCCGAGGTTCACCTTCATGGGGTTCGGGTCCTCTTTGAAATCATTCGACAGTTTGAAGACCGCCACTGGGGTGGCTTGGGGAACCTCACCGAATAATGACATGATGATGAATTTTACCGAGACGGAATGTTAGCTAAAACGGCAAACCAACCCGGGACAAACCGCTGTTCCGTTTATGGGACGAGGTAGGAAAATAATTTCACCTTCAACTTGGATGGATTTGGGCAATGGAAAATGGGTGTGAGAGATTTGACCAATAGAAATTGAAAACAACCAGCTGACTCAAAAATAAGCCAATCCTAGCGACGATTGAAAAGGGTCAAGGGGTGAAATAATGTGACGTAGTTGAGAGTTTGTGCCAATTGCGAAACACAATTGGAGATTGACACGCTCCTATGCAAACCTCTGTCGCTGAATAGGAATATGCGGGTTTAACGAGTTTTTGGTTTTCCCTTCAAAAAGGAGGGGATTTGATTAATGCCCCATTGACCGTGTTAGCGTTGATTGCGTTCGATTTGGAACCGTGAGCAGGGTACCCCATTCTGGCCCACTCAAAACAAAGTAACTAATAGATTATGTGTTTTCATATCCAAAAGTTAATTATTTTCTGATAAAAATGCCTTTATACTGGCTACGCCCGGTCACATGACGGGCCATAGCCCGGTTCAACCCGGGGCAGTTTAATGATTCCCTTCAATGTAGAAACCTCTTAGAAATAGCTACAATGTTATTGCATGGTTATGTAATAAAATCTATTTCTAAGAGGTTTCTAAATTTTTGCTGCGAAATACACAGCCTCATAACATCCACTGTAGTTAACTGATTGTTTTCTGATTTTCTCTTCACAAACAGGCATCCGAATGAACCTGATAATTAGCCTTTTAATCAAAGAGATTTAGATCGTATTCCTCTGCTCAGGCGTTGCATGCATCAACCAACGTTTGCGTGACACGTCATCGACGATGCCGTCGGGCACCAGATTGCTATCACATATTATGTGGTAAACTGAAACGTAAAATACGTATCTAGGCGTTGTAAGATCTGAGCAGGGGAACACGACCTCTGCTACGCTCTGTCAAAATGTAACATCATACACCCCAACCTTTTGAAATCACTTCTCTATCTGTCCACAAGGTGGCACCCTAAGCTTGTTATTCATGATCCACCATGATTTCTGCCCTGGATAGAAGTTGACCACAGATCACCCTCCCTTTATACTATATGTCGTCCAAGGGACATCATACCTTAGTCAGGGAACACAACATTAACCATAGATCAGTGTTTAGGGGCAACTTCTTCAACAGAGAGACAGAATACGTTTTTTTGTTTCTTCCTCATTCGACCAAGTACCACCTTTCCTAACTATAAGCTTTAAGTGCAGGTAGGCTACTGTAGTACACTTTAATAATGATGACACGTTTCCAGCATGGCTCCATTGACAGGTTTATAATCCCTGTGTCAACTCTGTTTGAATGCAGACATGTCAATGCAGATTTGAATCCAAACCAAACAGGGTTGATTTCAGAGCAGTATTTGTGTATGTGTGTGTGCGCGCACATGCGTGCGTGGGTGCATGTGTATGCATGTGTGTGGATATGTTTTTGTGTGACTGTGTGTGTATGTGTGTATGTGTGTGTGTGTGTGTGTGTGTGTGCATGCGTGTGTGCGTGCATGTGTGTGTACTTTCTCCCTCAGCTGTCTCTCTGTCTCCCTGAGGTGAAGTGGTTGATAAATGAAGGCCACTTTACTCTGCTCTTTCATCCCTTGGGTATCCTGGACTAGAATGGAACATTTCTCAGTTCTCAGTAGAAGAGCCACCATGTGTCACGCATCAACGCTTCAATACTCCCTCTGTGTCTGCTGTTAGTGGGTTACCTGAAATAACATTTTATTGACAGTAGTTTTATTATGGGTATTTGAAAGGCTGGTCTGATGGCATACCAACCAACTCATTGTACTGCATAAGGTTATTTACTGTAGCTTATTTAGCATACTGGATTACATTTGGTTGGAGAAAGATGGTAGGGTACTCTACTCTAGTGAAAGGCAACATCTAACCCAAAAAGCCTTCTAGGTTTGGGGACTTCTATGGTTTCCACCTCACTTCCCGGGCCAGGTGCAGGGTAACCCCAGTGGGCCTGCCTGCCAGAAGAGGATCTGGCTTTCTGAAGGCCAGGGTCACCCCTCTCTCCCCCAACCTTCCTCCCCACTCCACACACTTTTGCTCAGACAGTAGATGTGTTCATTCTTTCCGACCAGTTGAGACCAGGTATCAGTGTGTGTGTTACCTGTCACTGTCAGGCCAGCAATTATAGGATTTGAGCTCCCTGAGCAGAGCAGAGCAGGCTTCAGGCCTGGGGCCAAGAGGGGCCTGGAGACGACCGAGAGGACAAGGGGGCCCAAGATCTGGGCTGAGAGGGGAGGGATGAGTCAGGGGAAGGACTGACAGGGTGTGGGTGTGGGAGTGGGTGTGGGTGTGGGTGTGTCTGTGTGGGTGAGTGATTATGATTGACAGCAGTAGCCCCTGGGGAGACACAGCCATGAGGTGTGTGTGTGTTACAGAGAGAGAGAGATCAATGTGCATTCTCTATCTCCTGACCCTGCCATTTGGCACATACAGCCAAATGAACTGTTTTTTGTTTTTGTTTCTACTCGGTCCAATAACATTTAGAGAAAGAATTACAAAGAAAATATAGTTTGTTTATAGAGTGTTTTTATTTTGGTTTCAGGTTATCAGGGACTGTGTCGGAAGTCAGACGTTGACACCAAGCACTCACACACACGAGCATGTGCACAAACACAAACACACGGCCACAGTTACATTCCACGGGGGTATAGAACACACACACACACACACACACACACACACACACACACACACACACACACACACTGCTGCATTCCAGTGGGGACCTTCTGGTGTAGCTCACATGTTGCGTTGGCCTGTGTGTCTGTGGGTCACTGTGTTGAGTGACTGTCTTTCAGCTCCCTGCACTGTTTGTTTTCCTGAGACAGTGTCATCAATTCTGCAACAAGGTATCAGACACACCAACAACAGAGACACAGGGACCTCCCTGCTTCCCTGTATGCAGCGACCCTGAATAATGGTGCATGTATGCAGTAGCCAGACATGCCTCAGTGTGTGTGTGTGTGTGTGTGTGTGTGTGTGTGTGTGTGTGTGTGTGTGTGTGTGTGTGTGTGTGTGTGTGTGTGTGTGTGTTCAGTGACGGATGTTGCGTGCATGCAGTAGCCAGACATACCTTCTCTTCCAGGGGCCATTGATCAAAGGTATGCAAACTGAGTTGTCTACACATTACACCACACCTGAGAAATCACAGACATCCCCTCACACATTTACAACAGCCCATTTAACATTATTTGCAATGCAAATATAGACCAGGGGATGCTTGTATATTAGAATATATGGAAGTGACACTGACAAACTTACCACATTGTTGCAATACCTTCAAACCACATTAGATGACAGTGGTTTACATAGGATGTTTACATGTATGTTGTAATACTTTTGAGTGGTTGGGATGGCTTTGAGAGGGATATTCAATGTAGCATACAGTAATGTTGGCCGCAAGCCTCTCTTTCTCTCCTTCACTAATTCTATACCTGTCTCTCTTTTTCTCTTTTACTCCCTCTCCAACTAATAACCTTCGGAAAAAAAATAAAAAATACCTGAGATAATGCCTAGGCTTTAGGTCACCAAGTGAACATAGTCTTGTGGAACGCAGGAAACCTGGATTTGAACCCAGTCGGTCACACTAGCCCTGACCTCCACAAGTGAGAAAGTAGAAAGCATGAACATAGATTCCTACTAAATTCACTTGGACAGTAATTGATTGATGTAGTGTTTAGTTTAGCTGACTCTGACTGGCCAGACCTTAGCTCAGTATAACTGTGCACCTTTGTAACAATAAGAGGAAGTGGTAGGCTCATGTCTGCGTCTCTACGTCCATCCTTTGACTGTACGTCTCTATGAAATGAAAAAACAAACACCAGTCAATATTTGACCCATAACCATGGTCTTCAATTCATCCTTTCGCTCTAAACAGCTCATAATTCAACTTGATTGATTATAAACAATGAACAATGATATTAATGCCTCATCGTTGCTGTATTGAAATTTACAGAGGAAATGTAAAAACAGAGAGAGAGAGAGCATAGCGTGCTTCTCTTCCAGTTCAGTATTTATTTACAGAGTTAAATACTTAAGAATGGGATGTCATGACTTAAAGTAAATAAGCTGTCATGTTGATGGAGCAACACAAGCATTTTCTCAGCAAGATGTTTACCTTGTGTGTGTGTACGTGTGTGTGTGTGTGTGTGTGTGTGTGTGTGTGTGTGTGTGTGTGTGTGTGTGTGGTTCATAACAACTGTGTTTGAGTGCAACCATAGCTATAAACTGTCCTACATGCCTGTGGCCAGATGAACTCAACTCAACCTTTCGTTTTTATTCCAACATGGCTGTCCAGACCAGACAGATGTTTTATTGATACAGAAACACAGCAGCAGGAGGCCAAAGACTGGGAACCTCTGCCCAAACATCCTATGCACACATTTTTACATTTACATTTGAGTCATTTAGCAGACCCTTTTATCCAGAGCGACTTACAGTTAGCGTATTCATCTTACAGTTTTCTTTAATCACTTTAGTACTATTTTCACAAGTATGTGGTGAATCTTCAGAACTCTTAGCACAACAATTCAAACTGGCAACACTTGTAACGCAGCCAGTCTTACATTCAAAACCTTTCACTGTGCATTCATTTTGTTTCTAGACATCTTTCACCACACAACCATTGATCCAAAATATACGTTTACTATGAAATAAAAGGAGTACATCATCAAAACACAACATAATTATATATTTTTAGTAGATACATGTTTAAGTTGTCCTGTACGTGACTCAGTTCATAAGAGCATTGCACTAGCAACACCAGAGATGTTTTAAATATGTTATTGGACCATAAACAGATTTGTCTCATTAATCTATACGGTCCAAATAATGATGATCCAAGCTTCTTTTAAAAAATATATAATAATTTATCAAGCCTACAAGCAATACATTACTCTATTATTATGTTGGGAGA